GACATCGACAGACGATGAACGTAATTTGTAATCTTTTTTCGTCGCCACCACTACCAACCCTACTCTCACTCATCCCATTACATGCATACCCTATTCCTAACAATATTAAAAAAATTACTTATTAATGTGTTAAATTTTTTTTTTTAAAATATAAATGTAAAGTAGTTAATAAGGATAATGAGAAATTAAAATGTGAATATTAAAAAGTTAGAAGAAATTACACAAGTCACATGTTGAAATTCAATTGGAGGCAAAGTTATCAGAACTGAACCAGACAGGACCGGACCGGCCAGTCGAACTAGTTCAACCACGACCGGGGACCTTAATCGGTCCAGTTGACTAGTTAAACAACATAAGAAAGAGAACCGGATAAAAAATGTCAAACTGGCCGATTTTTGGAAACAATCGTGAACTAGACGGTTATTTAAAATCGGATGATTTGAAGTCCATAAAAGAAAAGCCAGTGTATTTCTTTTTTTTATTTGGGCCATTTTGATTTTGCCCTAAATCCTAAGTCACAAAAGGTAGAGAACAAGAAGTGAGAAGAACACAACACTCATGCATCCATCGAGGCTGCTCAAGTGACCAAGGAAGCAACGATTACTGCTCTACTTAGTTCTCAAGCAGAGGCGACAACTTAGGCAAGCTCTCCGGTGAAGAACAATAGCTAAAGGAGGCAACTACTGCTTTATTACTTAGTCGATTGGTTCAATGCTAAGGGAGTCGACGAACAATAGCAGTCGATCGATCTCTATTACTCAATCGATCTGTTCAACACTCCAGATCTCTACTATATATAACGTTAAGGTAAAATGGATGTCCTCCTCTCCTTTCTCTTTTCTCACACACACAATTATGTTCTCTAGATCTCTGTTGTTTGTGACTTCAACTCTTTGTTGCAAAAGTGAACTGTGGTTACTGGTTATATTGTTTAGAAATCTGTTGTAAATACATATTTTATTTTTTAATTTTTTTTGTTTAATCATATGTCTCTTTGATTGAAGCTTGCGGATGGTTATAGCTTAAGAAATCAATGTGACTGTGTTTGCTTACTTGCCATTCATCAAATGAATAGTGGTTATACTGCGCATTGGATAACCTTTTGATATTGTTTGTTTAATTATTACACAATTGAAATGGTATATTATTGATGTCACTGTGTTATTATTATCTATTTGTGTTATATTAAGATTGTGAATTGAGATTGTGGGATTGTGAATTGTGAATGAAGATTGTGGGATTGTGAATTGGAATTATTAAAAGAATGGTATCTTATTAAAAGAAGAACGATTTGTATTGTATTTTATTGATTGCATATTTTAGTAGGGGTGCAACTCGGGTAGGTTGAGTATGTTGAGAGGTCAACTCTACCCCAACCTTAGGTATATAATCTTTAACCCTAACCCTATCTCAACCTGAGGTACTCAACTCGAGTACTGCCTGAGTTTAATTCGGGCGGGCTCAAGTTGAATTCGAATTACTTAATTCGGACTGATTTAAGGTTAAAAGTCGAGTTAAGCTTTGGGTTACTTAATTAGGGTTAATTTTTTCAAGTGATTTGAGATGAAAGGCGAGACGCAGATGAAGAGAAAGGAAGTGAGAGAGAGAGGGAAGAGTGATGAGTGAGAGATGAAGGTTGAGAGTCTGAGACTACTTAGATAAGTGACGATTAAGAAAGGGAGGTTGAGAGAGAGAGGAGTGACGAGTGAGAGAGGGAGGCTAAGAGCCTGAGACTAGATGAGAGACGAGTGAGAGAGAGATCTGAAAGTGATGGAGGCGCAAAGGTGAAGACTTAAAGTGAAGTGAAAGTCTGAACTCTGAAGATAAATATTAACCATAGTTAAATACATTTATATATTTATGTATATTCGGGTTCAACCCGATTTTAATATTTGGGTTGAACCTGACAACTCAAGGCCTCAACTTGAGGCTTGCCCGAATTCAATTCGGGTTAGAATTTTTTTGCTTAGGCCTAACCCAAGTATTAAAAATTCTAACTCAAGCCCTATTTTTTTTGAGTTAAGCTTGGGTTGAATTCGGAATGGTCCGCCCAAGTTGCACCCCTATATTTTAGACCCTTTTCATCAAATAAATGACGATATACAAGAATTACTTGAAGGGTAGAAATTATGATCCTATTGACTTTGAAGATTTCACAAGTAATGTCTCATAAATTTTAGAAGATGAGCCTCCAAGTTTAACTATAGATGAAGTAGAAAGTTTTTGTCGTGAATTAGCTGCATGCAATATCCAACTAAACCTCAACACTGATATGCTTCATACTTCTTGTATTGTCTTTATCACTAAAAGTATATATCTACATTAATTATTTGATACATCAATAAATAATGCCTCTATTGGATATAATGTAGATGAAATTTTAAACTTTGAATTGGATGACGACGACGATGATCTTGAAAATGAAGAGGGTAATGGGACTGGAGGTTTTGGGAATGCAACAACTGTTAAAAATATCTATTGTGTTAGAGCTGAGAACCCTGAGTTTGGCGTGGATTGGAGTTCATGGAGTAGGAGCACTCATTGGGAAAATGAGAATGAGTAGAGAATGTACATTGTGTAACTTCTATTGAATATTTGAGGAGTTGTACTTTTATTTTGCATGGCCATTGTGAAGTTGTGTTTGAGATTTGTAACTTATGTTTACTTATCATTTGGATGATGTGTTCTTATGTAAACTTTTAACTTCAGTACAGATTGTGGTTTGTGAATTGGACTTGAAGTGATTTTTTTATTATGTACTTGGATTGGAGCTTTAAAGTTGAATTTTGATATTTTGCACAAGTGTTTCTTGTACTTAACTTCATTAATTTTATGACAAATTGTTTGCATTTTAGACATATTTTATATTTTTTTAGTTAAATTATTATGTTTTATAATTATTATATATATTTTTTATTTTTTATTATATGACAGATCCGACCAGTTAACCCAATAATTGAACCAGTGAATTATTGACCCGGTCCCCTTACCAGTTTAATGACCAGTCCAATTCTAATAACATTGATCAGAGGAAACCAACAAAATAATTCAAAATTTATGAAAAAAAACATGATTTGAAGAGAAAGAGTTTGTTTAGTACACAATATAAATTAAGAACTCTTTAGAAACGTGGTAGCATAAGAGATACAATAAGTAAATAATCGATGGGACGTTGGCGGTCTGCCAGTTAGGAACCAACATGTGGCAATCTAGGCCCATCACAACATATCAGTTGGACTTCTGATGGTCAAGACTGAGCAAAAGGCGTCTTAGACTAAGAGTACACAGCATGTAGAGAACCAAGTATGTGTGCGGTCTGTACCGAGTATTAATTGTCATCAAATTATGGATCTTGGATAGTGTGTTGATGCACCAAGCCTTAATTAGTTGTCTCATCCACGAGAGGCTCAAGTTTAACCGCCAAAAAGACAGCACAAAGCTCTTACTGTAGCCAAATAGCCCTCAGGGATGTCCGTTAGATATCTCGGCGTCTACTCATAAATGCTCAGAAATCGGCTGTGAGCACTTTATCATAAAGCACTCGATGTTTAGGGCGTGAAGTTATAAAAGCACAGCCCATCTCGGACGTTTAATACCGATCGTCTAATCACGTAGTATTAATGAGGCGTGACGGAAAAACACTTACTACATTGAACAACGGATAGAGGTTGTCAGGCCTATGATTGGCACTCGAGTGGGTGCCACTTCACTCCAATCACATTTTCTATTTTAACTACTAGTTCAACCAATTTCAACTAACTTTCAATAATTTAAATAGAAAATACCATGTAGTCTATTACGTCATCATCATATTTTTATTGATTATATTTTTAATGGTCATTATTTAACCCAAAATTCAACTAAAAATTTAAATCAATTCAACCCTATAGAGTTCCCAACATGGGGAAGGGAAGGAGTTTTCGGTAAAGGCATGGGAGAAGGGGGTTTAGCGAGGCTGAAGGGCTCACAAAATTTGGAGAGCCTTTTTTTGTGAAATGGAAAATACCAAATGGGATAGAGATTGGGTTGGAGAGGTTTTTTGTTGTTGGGCTCAATAAAATGGATAAGAAATGACTTTTGAAGAGTGAGTTGGAATCGCTATGAATACCCTATTGAAATAGGATCAACGTATGCATACTAAAATAATTCTGCACTATACACTTTATCTCTCGAACTTAAGCATCGACTACTTTAAGCTTCAGAGAATACCCTATTGAAATAGGATCAAGGTATGCATGCTAAAATAATTCTGCACTATACACTTTATCTCTCGAACTTAAGCATCGACTACTTTAAGCGTCGGAGGAGATAAGTCGGGTGTACCCTCACCCCATTCTAACTTTTCCTTGTTTTTCTTATCATTATAGAAAATCACAAACGTGCAATAACTATCTTGACAAATACAATGCTATCAGGACTTAGCGTAGCATGTCTAGTGATGGCTTTGCTTTAGGAAGGTTAACTCTCAAATACGAATTTATCATACTTAGACTATGATTATTTCATTGATTTTTGATTCAAAATTGTATCTAGACGTAACAAAAATAAAAGTTATGTTCATATCGACTCAATCCAATTTAGACTTTGTAATCATTTTTGATCCCATTAAATTGAATACATGTGTTTGTATCCACTTCAAATATAAATCCATTTAAATTTACACAAGTTAATTGCAATTATAAATTAATCAACTAAAAACTTCAACCGTCTTTACCTTTGACTTTGAACCATCACTAGAAGGACAGTGTTTAATATATCATTTTGCAGCATGTCATATAGTCTTAGCCTAAAACAAACTTGATAGTCCTGGCAATGCCCCTAGTAAAACCCAGCCTTTGAATATTTACCCTAAGCAGCAAAATCCAACATTAAAATAAGCAAATATCACATAAAAAATAAAAAATGCGTGTTTGAAGAAAATGCCCCAACTTTGGAAGCTAAATCCTAAACAGAGTTGTGTCTTTATCACCAACCCATTTCAATTCCGCGGCTTTTATTGCCATACACTCACCAGCCTCTTAGCCGCTCCTCATTCTGCTTTTGGGAATTTGGAATAAATAACCCAAATTACTTATAAACCGGTGTTTGAACTCTCTCAACTTCAGACTTTAATGGGTCGCTCGCGTGGAAATTTTCAAGCTGACGAAGATCCCACACAAAGGTTTCAACTTTTTTTCGCTCTCCCATTCTTTTATTCCACGAATTTCATATTTACATTTTTTTTTCTGTTTGCTTAGATGGTTGTTTAGTTCGAGCTATGCTTTCTTCATGTATAATGTTATTGGGTTTGTTCTTAATTCTGTGTTTAAAGTGATATAATTTTTGTGCTATTATAATTGTGTTTATGTGTACTTATTAAATCCTGTTTATTAGGCTTAAGATTTATTCAATTGGTCCTGTTGGTTGCCTGGGCACTTGCAAAAATGCACGAGTTGTTACTTGAATTACATGCCTATCTACGAGATTACAACATGTCATTAATTGCCTGTCTTGCATTGTCATATATTCTTTAAGAGCTTTTTTTTGGTTTTTTTAAATGAAATTGCTAGAGAGGACTTTTTCTACAAAAGATTACTTTTGGTTGCATTTTCGGTGCTGAATTTGTAACTGAGGTAGAAGCCCTGTGTTCAAATCAGTACAGAGTTTTAAAAAATCCCACCTTTTTTTTTGTGATAAGCAATGATGCATCACTATTACTGTGCAATGAAGTTTAAACAATCACAAGTTGGAAGTAAAAGATGAATATAATGCCTAAAAAGAGGGACAAAAAAATAGTAGAATACAACCCCCTAAGAGAGGGACATACGCGATCAGTCCCCACTGAACTTCAGATTGGAAGTAACAGTGGCGGGGGTAGGCCTAGTTGTTAATCATCACCCTATTTGTGAGTTCTAGTTTTTTTGACAAATTTCAGCAACCCAATTTTTTATTTTGAGCAAGTCTCTCAGAACAATTGAACTTGGATTTTGGGCTGAATGGGTGCCCAACCTAGCACTTCTGGTTCCAAATCACCAACATTCATTGCCATGAAACACAGTTTATGCACTGAGGGATCCTCAGGCAAAGATTGGACACGATTCGCACAGCTGAAAGAATTACGAAGCTATAGAGTATGTATATCTGCTTTTTGTTTGTCAGACAAGTGCATTATTGTATTGTGAGGTTGGAAAAATTAGCTTGCCAGCAAATTCAAGGTTTAGAACTGTCCATATCTTATAATTTTTATAAGTTTTAACTATTCTGTTGTGGCATGATTATTGCATTCCTCTGTGGTGAACTTTCAGAATTATGCCGTCATTGCATTGATTACTATTATTTTGAATTTTTTTTATTCTTTCTTTTCGATATGTATTTTGCTCCAATGTAGATCAAGAAGAAAAAAGAATGCCTCAGGTGGAGAAAATTTAGAATCTGCAGCCACAGGTACCTGACTTTTCTTGAATTTATGTTTGATAAGAATTTTGGAGTATGTGTAAGTGGTGAAATTATTTGGTCCAAGGACCTATATTATACGCTTTTTCCCCCTTATTGCTTTCTTGTTCTAACCCTACTCGTTTGACACATATTTTTCTTTTTGACCAAAACTCTGGGATTGGTTCCTTGACAATCTTTTTATTAGTATATGAATTATAAACATACTTCACGTAGAGGTTCGAAGACATATGCAATGGTATAAACAAAGATCAAAATTTCGTATCGGTGCATTGTTTTATTAACCCAGGAAATGGAAACGTTTTGAAAATATTTCATAAATGTTTTGAAAACAATATACAAACGAAAACAAAATTTGAGAATTTATTTTCAAAACATTCCAAAACATTGACCGAAATATGTAGAAACATCATAAAACACCTCAAAATATTCTGAAATGTTGGTGAAAACATGCCGAAATATCTCGAAAAATTCTGAAACACTTGAAGCATTGTAATTTCAATTAAATCACTAATTTGATTCGAACTCCTTGGAAAAGGAAAATTTTCGGTCATTTCGAAATGAAATTTTGGTCCTTGGGTATGAAGTTGGAACAATCGGTTGCTTCCTACAAACATGTTCCTCGTTTGAGATATCATTCTTCCTTGTGTACGTTAGCAATATCACTTATTTCTTCTATTTGTTTGTCTCCTCTTATGAGTTTGGTTTTTGATTAATGAGGTCAAGGAACAAGTGAGGGGAAAAGGGCTTTGTACCACTGCAATTATTGCAACAAAGATATAACAGGGAAAATTCGTATCAAGTGTGCTGTATGTTCTGATTTTGACCTCTGTATCGAGTGCTTCTCTGTTGGTGCTGAGGTGAATCCTCATAAGAGCAAGCATCCTTATAGGGTTATGGTATGTGACAATCTAGATTTTAATTTTTTTAATAACTTGCCGGTATATAAATTGTTTTGTTATCTTGTTTACTTGAAGTTAATCCGGCATCTCTAATATTATTGAAGAAACATGATACTTGTTTTGTATTTTCAAGTGAATGGAAAAATTAAGTTTGAGTAAAGAAGACTTTTCTAATGATGTACCTCTTCTTTGAGATGGCCAAGAAATATCAGAATGGTAATGGTTGTGTGTTTGACAGTGGGTGTACATAAGATGTGACTTGATTGTGCATGATTGTTTGGTGCATTATTGCGTTTCTCACATCCTATGCTCATGCATATTTAAAGTTGACTTTGAGCTTTATTGGGCATTTTTTGGTACATAAGCGGCAATGGAGTTCCACTTTGTTAGTATCTTATTCAGTTATTTGGGTCATAGTGCAACGCAAAACTCTCAATCATTCCTTTTATGCTCTATGTTTTGTGATTGAACTATGTTCAAATAATTTTCACCTGATTTCATACTGAATGAAATATAGCAAGCATAGTGGTTCTTACTTGAGGCTATTTGTTGGCTCACTGTGCTCTTGCTTCTTATATTGTCATTTGTACAGGACAATTTGTCTTTCCCACTTCTCTGTCCAGACTGGAATGCTGATGAAGAAATGTTGCTTCTAGAGGTGTTTTAATTTTTGTCAATCATTCTTAATGTTTGATGTGGCTTGATTTGTGGATTGTATTACTAATGGACATCTGATTTGTATTCCATCATTTTCTTTTCTGATGTGCTTGATGAAATTTTATTTTTTAGGGGATTGAAATGTATGGCATAGGGAACTGGCCAGAAATTGGTGATCATGTTGGGACAAAGAGTAAAGAAGTTTGTGTCAAACATTATACAAACGCATACATGAATTCCCCATACTTCCCTCTTCCGGTATGAGAACTGGCAGAGCTAACTTGTTCTTTGAGTTTTGTTTTCCATCCCCAAAAATTAAGCTGAAATCATTCTTTTCTTAGGACATGAGTCATGCAGCAGGGAAAAATAGAAAGGAACTCCTTGCTATGGCTAAAGGGAACGGTGAAGACCAAAAAGGTTGGGTTATACTTCATTTTTCCCTTTTTATACTTTTCAATTTTGCTTATCTAATGAGATTTGATGCAATTTTCATTTGGTGCTCACTTAAAGTATAGTCATGTATCTGGAGAGGGTATTAAGTAGCTGATACTGTAGCCAACATAGGTCATGACCTTGTCGAGGATCAGTTGTTTCAGCAGTCCTAAATCCAGTGATAGCATAGTATTTGTTTTGGTAGACTTTGATTATTGATTATTGATATTGAATCTTGATATTGCTTCTTCCTTAACTTCTCTCTCTATTCTCATCCCTTTCTTCTTCTTTTCTCATCTCCTTCTTCTTCCCTTCTCATTCCTAATTCTGCCCTATTACGATCTACATCAAAGGGTCTGGACGTACATTGAATGTTCTTTTCCAGGCTAATATATTCTTGTGCAACTTTACTAAGTTTTACACCCCGGGCTGGGGCAGTGTGTGTTCATTAGATTTGAGGCACACTTTTATGGTGTCAAATTGTCAAATGTGAGCATTTAGCATGATATGGCACTTCTCATCAATAATTTTTAATTTTATTGCTTGCTTGTGGCTAACACAGGACTTTCTTCGCTTGGGGAACTTACACTGAAGGATGAATCTTCATTTTCCTTGAGAGTCAAGTATGACTGTAATTTCTTCTATGCATGTATTATATTCAGTTGTCTAGTACATAAAAAAGGCGTACTCAATACATGAGGCTCCCGTTATTTCGGGGTCTGGGGAGGATTAGATGTACGCTGTCTTATCCAGCAAGAAGAGAGAATGTTTCTTGTACATACGCCATCTTATTCCATTTCTTTATGTGATTAGAACTGAAGATTCACATAAAGGAGGTACTCCAGGCCGTTTATTGTCTGGCTCAAATGTTGGTAAGGAAAACTGTATGTTTGATTAGCTACATACTTTATCTGGTCAATTATAGTTGTTTGACTTAATTCAATAGCTACATCAGTTCTTTTCTTCGGTTGCAAATAGAAGCTCTGCAGACAGTTCTAACAACATGGATATTGCAGGGACAACTGCTGTTAAGAAGGCATCTAACATGGCCCAAGTCAAGGATCAAGCTGATTCTATAAAACTTGAAGGTGTGCATTTTCTCTACTCTTCTTTAGATTGAAATTATTTGCTGAAAGAATTGCGGTTATTTGGTTATTTGTTCGCTTATAATTAATTTATGTATTGCTGGCAGAACATATATCAGGCAAGAGTTTTGGGGGTAATAAACCTAAATCGTCAAGGGATGAGGGACCGTCTTTGATAGAGTTAAGTGGTTATAACCCCAAAAGACATGAATTTGATCCTGAATATGATAATGATGCTGAGCAGTCGCTAGCTGATATGGAATTCAAGGACACTGACACAAAGGAGGAACGGGAGCTGAAGTTACAGGTGCTCCGTATCTATTCAAAGAGGTATCTAGCCTGTATGATGTTCATTTCTGCACGAGTCTTCCTTTGGAACAAAACATGCACATTGTAATAACTCACACACCCCCTTAACTCCAAGACGGCATACATAAATGCACCCTTATTAATTAATTTACCTAAAAGAATGGATGCGAGGATGATAAGTTTGAAAGTTCTGCATGTTGGATTCTTCTTGTTCAAAAATGTTTCCTGGACTGTCTTTTTTCTATATCCAACAAACAGACTAAGGGCTGTCTTCACTCCATAATAAAATTGTGGGAAGTTCCAATGTGTCATGTTGACAGTATTGAATGGTTATAAATAGAATAGGCTTTCTTCTTGTCATGATTTATTTCATTACAGAACCCCTATCTTAACTGATAAGACCCTCAACGAAGTTACATATGTACAGCACATCCTCTATCATAAGCTATGGTTCATTTGTAGTTTGTACTTTCCTGTTGATAACTACAGTTATTTCCCTTCTTTCCTCTTTTTTATATCTAGTTTTGATAAATTATTGGTAGGCTTGATGAGAGAAAACGCAGGAAGGATTTTATTTTAGAAAGAAACTTGCTCCATTCAAATCCCTTTGAGAAGGACCTATCTCAAGAAGAGAAGGCTATATGTCGGCGTTATGACGTCTTCATGCGTTTTCATTCCAAGGAAGAACATGAAGAATTGCTTAAGACTGTTATCTCAGAGCACCGGATACTAAAAAGGATTCACGAGCTTTCGGTATGATATGTTCTTGGCACTGACCTCTTTGTAAAATTGATTCAACACTTGAAAAATAGATGCTGATTGACTTCCATATGTGCACCTCAAACCATCCTCCTTAACTCACCACAATCTTTTTTTTTTTTTTNTGACTTAATTCAATAGCTACATCAGTTCTTTTCTTCGGTTGCAAATAGAAGCTCTGCAGACAGTTCTAACAACATGGATATTGCAGGGACAACTGCTGTTAAGAAGGCATCTAACATGGCCCAAGTCAAGGATCAAGCTGATTCTATAAAACTTGAAGGTGTGCATTTTCTCTACTCTTCTTTAGATTGAAATTATTTGCTGAAAGAATTGCGGTTATTTGGTTATTTGTTCGCTTATAATTAATTTATGTATTGCTGGCAGAACATATATCAGGCAAGAGTTTTGGGGGTAATAAACCTAAATCGTCAAGGGATGAGGGACCGTCTTTGATAGAGTTAAGTGGTTATAACCCCAAAAGACATGAATTTGATCCTGAATATGATAATGATGCTGAGCAGTCGCTAGCTGATATGGAATTCAAGGACACTGACACAAAGGAGGAACGGGAGCTGAAGTTACAGGTGCTCCGTATCTATTCAAAGAGGTATCTAGCCTGTATGATGTTCATTTCTGCACGAGTCTTCCTTTGGAACAAAACATGCACATTGTAATAACTCACACACCCCCTTAACTCCAAGACGGCATACATAAATGCACCCTTATTAATTAATTTACCTAAAAGAATGGATGCGAGGATGATAAGTTTGAAAGTTCTGCATGTTGGATTCTTCTTGTTCAAAAATGTTTCCTGGACTGTCTTTTTTCTATATCCAACAAACAGACTAAGGGCTGTCTTCACTCCATAATAAAATTGTGGGAAGTTCCAATGTGTCATGTTGACAGTATTGAATGGTTATAAATAGAATAGGCTTTCTTCTTGTCATGATTTATTTCATTACAGAACCCCTATCTTAACTGATAAGACCCTCAACGAAGTTACATATGTACAGCACATCCTCTATCATAAGCTATGGTTCATTTGTAGTTTGTACTTTCCTGTTGATAACTACAGTTATTTCCCTTCTTTCCTCTTTTTTATATCTAGTTTTGATAAATTATTGGTAGGCTTGATGAGAGAAAACGCAGGAAGGATTTTATTTTAGAAAGAAACTTGCTCCATTCAAATCCCTTTGAGAAGGACCTATCTCAAGAAGAGAAGGCTATATGTCGGCGTTATGACGTCTTCATGCGTTTTCATTCCAAGGAAGAACATGAAGAATTGCTTAAGACTGTTATCTCAGAGCACCGGATACTAAAAAGGATTCACGAGCTTTCGGTATGATATGTTCTTGGCACTGACCTCTTTGTAAAATTGATTCAACACTTGAAAAATAGATGCTGATTGACTTCCATATGTGCACCTCAAACCATCCTCCTTAACTCACCACAATCTTTTTTTTTTTTTTTCAATTTGGAATAATAAGGAATGCTTCATACTGTTTGTTGCATTCATGATAGATCATCTGAGTCAACATATGCTTTATTTTACTATTTTGTTCTATATATGACTATGCAGGAAGCACGAGCTGCTGGTTGTCATTCGTCAGCTGATGCTGATAGATATCTTGAACAGAAAAGAAAGAGGGAAACTGAAGAAAGTGGTCGCAAAAAGGGAAGTGTTCAGGCTGGTGCAAATGGTCAGGGTGGTCTAAATATGCCTACGCCCTCAGACTCTCTTGATACATATTCAAATTCAAGAACTGCAGGCCAGACAAGTTTGAGCTTTCTGAGTGATGTAGATATTGTGGCATTTCCTGGGGCAGATCTACTGTCTGAATCTGTAAGTATAAAATTTCTGGCTTCTACTTTTTTGTGTGTTTATAATTTTGACTGCAACAGACGAGGCTAAATATTTTACTACTTGGCTCTTTTCCCAAATAATCAAGGCCTAGTTAATTTGTGCGGATAATATAACCTCATAAATGGTGCATTTGTCTAATCGGTCTAGTTTTAATGTTGTCAGGAGAAACGACTATGTCGTGAGATCAGTTTACCACCCCCACATTATCTTAAGATGCAAGAATATATGACAATTCAAATCTTCAGTGGAAGTATTACTAAGAGAGGTGATTTGTATCCCTTATTCAAAATTGACCCGACCAAGGTTGATAGAGTTTATGATATGCTGGTGAAGAAGGGGATTGCTCTACCATGAAGACATATTTGTAGCTCCATCATGAGATCTTAGTCTCATACGTTTCTTTGTACTTTTTCCCTTAAATGTATTTTGGGTTGTCGAAAATGAATGGAACATATTTATATTGAATTCAGATAAGAGAGAGAATGGTGAACATTGACTTGCCAGCTTTCTTTCTGTTCGGTTCTGAACATGCACGAATTCATTGGTTTGACTACATACAGCATCACGATCACTCAGTCATTCCATGGTATCTCCATGCACTAACCAAAACAAATAATCTCATTTACCATGTTCCACATTTACATACTTGGAGGCATTGTCAATTTCTCTATCCCTCTGCAAGGCACAGGTTTTCTTACTATTAACAAATAAGACAATAAGAAAAGTCTATACACATATATACCCATGATAAATACGTCGTTCCAAATGAATAGCCCATCTCCATTAGAAGCATTTGCTCAAACGACATATGCATGCAGGAACATCCACCAATCCAATGCAAGCCACAGTATCTAGAAACTAGTTATTGTCCACAGTATACATGCTCTTGTTCACGGCACTGATCATATACATTCACACGCCGTAGAAACTAAAGTTCATGTTCCTGCGGACATCGGCACATGCCTGCCTGCCTGGAGGCTAGCGCAGGTTAGCTGACATAAGGGTCACCCATATACACCCAAAGGCTATATAGTTTCCATATGCTATATGCATAGAAGAGATAAAGGATACAACTGACCAAAAACCAAACTCAATGGACCAAAACAAAATAAAAATGAACTATTCATTATTTACCATAATGAACTTCTAAATTTAACATAAAATGGAAGTTTACTGATCACATAGAAATCAACTCATGTTAAAGAATTTAGGTGCAACTACATGATGGTAAAAATTGAGTAGCATGTAATTTTGGTGATGTGTAACTTTGTGAGAAAATTTGTCGAGCACAAGAGAGACACAAGAAACCGTGTCAAAGAATTTAGGTGCAACTACATGATGCGTGTGGAAATTATCTTCCCCATATATAGAGCTGACTTTCGGAAATCTATAATCAAGTTTAAAGCTGAATTTGATTCTTTATGGTTATCATGTAGCTTGTAATGATGTTATGTGAGAGTCTCATTGATGTTTGTACTCGAGTCATGTCATTTTTAGTTTATGAAAAAACAAAAAAATTAAAAGACAATCCCGTCCACAATACTATTGTCACTTCAACCAATTTAATTAATTGTGATAAGTGGACATACACTAACAATGGTCAATTTAAGGAGAAAATTCAGTCTAATGGTGCTAACTTAATCTCTCTCAATAACCACCGCTGGTCTGTCTCTGATGGGCCTTTTAGTGCATGTGTCCACAGCCCATTTTATCTGTTAGAGCACAAGATAAGGAATGAAAGAAACAAAGGCTAGCCACTCAAACATGCAGCTACAAAATCATTTTGACAAGCAGCACCAACCAAAGTAGATGATTTTGCTCTGAGCTCCCAAGGGATCTAGAGATATGAGGACAATCATACTCAGATCTCAATTCCACTTCCCAAAGCTCACCAATCTCACTCCCCCTAGTGCAAACCCTCCCTTTCGCTTCCATATAAGCCCCACATCACAACTAAAATATCCAACAAAACAATCTTCTTCACATTTTTCTTCACAATCTACAATCCTCCCTAGACAGAACACTGATATAGAAAAGACCCTAATCTATGAAGTTGTACCCAAATCTCAGAAATTCTCAGGAGGAGAGTTTTTTCAAGTTATTCCAGCTGAATATTCAAGGATTGTGATTTTGGGAGCTGTGTCTTTGGGATTGGCACTGTTTCTTATGGGTATTGATGATCAAAAGGCATTGGCTTTGGGTCCAGAAGGGCCACTTATGGAGGAGTTTTGGGACAACATGAGGAGATATGCACTTTATGCCTTGACAGTCAGTACAGGCTTTGCTTACACTCTATTTGAGCCTATATTCGAGCTGTTGAAGAACCCCATCTCTGCAATTCTCATTCTGACCATCATTGGGGGCAGCGTTTTCATTGTTTCACAAGTTGTTTCAGCCATGGTTGGTGTCACGGATTTTAATTATGAGTATGGCTATTAAATTCACTGTTATTTGTAGGGTCGCTGATGGGTATTGATCTTTGTATCCTTTATGGTTAGCTTAGTGCTAAAAACCAAAGAACAAAGTGTAGCTCTTGGCTTTAGTATCCATCTCATCTTATGATCAACAATGCACCACATTAATTATATTTTATAAAATTTTGTGTACCAATTTTGTGTAAATTGTTCGATCACTACATCACACTGTTTCCTATTAAATGTCCAATAATTGGGACTACACAACATGAGTTAGTATAAAGAATTTTAAATGAGCATTTGAAGATATACAATTGTATTCTCTTCTATCATATGGAATTCAAAAACCCATATAAATTTGCATGTCATGTAGAGATTGTCCGATTTTACGATGGAGAATGTTTGACTTCCTTTTTTGTATCCGTGCTTTCTAGTATTATACTGTTCCATACACCCCTCCTCCGTGAAGTATCCGTACTTTCTAGATCAACATCAATATACTCGTTTTAGTTGAATTCCCATTAATAGATCGAATTGATTCAAAATGCAGCTTGAATTTTTAAAATTCAAAATCTACCAAATTAGTTTATGAAACTAGTATCTTTTTAATTTTTATGAAATTGGAGAAGAGGCTAACCCAGAGTAGACAAGTAATCACTCAGGAAGAACCCATATGGAACTAACCTTATCTTGTCAGAGAATCTATGAAAAGATAATTACATTCCTTACTTGGTAACGAGAAGTATTGTAACACATACTTGCACAATGCATCATATGATTCATTGAGAATGTGCATAATCTGGGTCCGGGCCAGTTTTTCACCAAGTTTTCCCTAGCCCTAAGCTATGTTTGGACCAATGGAAAATTTGGCCAACAGTCATACATTGATCCAGTAGGTTAAAAAAAAGGCCTTACACACCAATTGTGGTTTCAAATCTCAGATTGGATTCAGTCCTTAAAGCAGATGGCATGTTTGTTGCTAGGGTACGGTGTTTCCTGAATAGTGCCAATTTCAGACACAGCTCGCAAATTCAGCATGTAACCAACAAGAAATTAGCAGTATGATTTGGAATTAATCTTAGTGAGTTCAAATGGTAAATGCATAGAATCATTAAACCAACCAAATAGGTACATAAACCCAACTAAATACAATGCAAAATCACTAATTGGCAAATGCGTAGACTCATTACACATGGCAAGAATTTGACACAACACGAATCCAAACATATACGACCATGAATCCAAACATATATGACCATAAATCCAAACATTGCCTGATTTCCATATTGAACAGCCATAATAGCTGCAATTTTGTACCTCCTTATTAGAATAACACGGAAGGTATCTACATTAGCATGTCACCCTCTCCAGATGTTGAATGCACTTCTGTTGTTGAAAGCATAATACAGCTTATTAAATTTAAGGAAATTAGGAGCACACTTAATAAGCTAACTAATCACTATAGGATTAAGCTTAACATCAAAAAACCATTCAAAAAAACCAGCCAAGGCACACCCCTAGAACATCAAAGTATTGCAGTCATTAGCAGGCACTCACCACGACCATTGAGCTTTTAACTCCCAAAAAAAATATATTACAGCATCATTATTCTCCTACATTGACATTTATACTTGCAACAGAAGAAAGGAGGACAGCATCTAGTAATCTACCATATTTATGTTAAGCTATGGTAGCAAATTAATGCTGGCACGACACTTCAGTTGCAATTGACAGATGATACCGACATGGGATACTGGAAACTATTGGCATACTGGAACGATAAGCTTTCTCCAGGACTAAGGCACTCCCCATTGTTGACAAGGCAATCGTTGTAATAGATTCTCCGAAAAATTCTAGGATTAATCAACCTGGCAGAGCTGAACCATCCACAGCTGATGTGAATATTGGAGATGCTGCAACTTCCTGAGAAGCACACATTCTGGATTTGAACTGTGTAGGTAGGGATACCATTGGGAAGTGGACTTGTTGGACCTTGATAGACGAATATGTTCTCTTTCGAGCACGTTGCACCAATTCGATTCATTGAGCCATCATCATCATCTATTTCAAGAATTCAATTTCCAGTTTTATAAGCTGTACACATATCGGTTCATGGTCTTCAATTTACAGAAACCAATCGATAATTCTACAAGTTCTAAACTGAGTTTTCATTCCAGGAGTCGAGGGGAAAATAGAAAGGAAATATTCCACTCTGAGAACATACAGTAGTTAGTTAGGGACCATGCATGGGTTTAGCAGACCTACATATGCAGAAGAATTGTAGCCAAGGAACATGTGACACTGTTGGGTAAAAGAATAAATTACATCTGCAACAAGCATTCATATGAATTTCTCCTTTACATTTTAAAATTTTCTGCCCCCGCCCATAATCAGAAGTGTATACAGACAAATTGTTATATGAGTCCTTAAGGTAAAATCCTCATCCTTGTGTTCTAAACCTATGGCTCTAGTTTTTAATAGTTTTCATAAGAGCACCAGACGGCAAAAAACAAAAAAGAAGGTGCTTACCAGTTAAGGCCAGAAGTTTCCGAGCAATGTAAGTCTGATTTCCCTCGGAAAAGTGTGGTTCTTGATTGCGAACACCACCAGTAATTGGTTCCAATGCACGATAAATATCCATAACTGCATCATTAAACCTTGTTGTTAGAAAACTGTGCACCGCGATAGTCCGATTTGAACTTCCTAGGAAAAAAATGCTCAGAAAACAAAAGGGAAAAAAGAAATTAACTTGAAATTCCCACATGGCGAGCATGCATGGTCACTGAATAAACTGAAGATAATTACTTTGTCCAATAAATGAAAACTCAAAGTATATTATTATAAAATCTCACTCTCATTCATTTATTCGGCTTCCAATGTCAATGCAGGATTTTTGCAGTTAATACGAAAACTCATATTTTTGTTGAAATTTCTCTTGCAGTATTCCAATTTTTTTTGCGTTTTTTGGACTTGTATTGTATGTTCAATGATGAACCAAGTACAATGACAAAAATAACTTTTCAGGAGGCTAAAAAGGCTGCATTGTGCATGATCCAACATGTTTCACTGCAACGCTTGAATAATTATCCAGTAGGAAGATGGTTCTTCAGCATCATAAGAGAGAGAGAATAGAGAGATTTACCCAAGAACACAGCAAGCATAAGAGCACAAACCAAAACCATAGAAACCATGCAAAGTTTCCTGTCCTTGTTTTTTTCTATGGAACAATTCATATTGAATCTCCCTGTGTATGCTGCAAAAAAAATCCCCTGAAAGAGACCCTGTCAGAAATTCATTATCAAAACACACCCTAACACAACCCAAAAAAAGTGATGATAGACCCATAAATGTAATTCGAATGTAAAGATTATGAAAAGGAATATCATGGCCAAAAAAAGCTCAAAAACAGTAGGAAATGTTATTTTCACTTTAGTAAGCATTTGTTTTTGCTGTTGATCAAGGAAAAAAACGAGCGGACAAAAAGCAGGGAAATTGAGACAAGTGGAAAGTGATAAGACCGTATGACTGTGGAGAAGTGCCTGGGAATATTACTACGACTTACACAGCTTGTGGGAGGTGCCAACAGTTGAAGCAAATCTAATTTAGAAGCGACGTGAATCTAAGGAGTGGAAGAAAAAATTTATAGCACATAGGAGTGTACTGAAGATCCAAAATTAGACAACACTTTTGAAGGAATTACAAAGCAGCCATGGAAGTTCTGGGTTTGTGACACGTCGCTCTTATCACTGGCAAGGTTAAGTGAGTTCTCTAGCTAGCCAACTCAACTGACTGACCATCTAAATGGAAGGGCAAGGTGTAAGATCTGAATTGCCCCCCTATAAGCATTATGGACAATAGGCAAATTGAACTGTCTCTATCCTTACCATTACCATTGTAATGAGGCTCAAGAGACTGCACAAAATGAATGCCATTTACCAATTTGATAGGATAAGGAATTAAGCACCTCTGCATATAATCTATTTACAGGCATTAATGAGAGTTAGAGTCGAAGTATGGTATGCATCATCCACACAAAAATATAATATAAGACAAGGAAGAGGATGAGGATGTCGTAGACCCATTCGACTACTAAAACTTTACTTTGTGTGACAACAAATATAATGGAAAACGAATGAACTTGATCCATACTTACAAAATTGGACATTGAGAGGTGTGGATGAGTACAAGTTCTCTATATATAAGTACGAGGTTAATTAGGCTATTGCCAAACATCTGTTGTTGCTTTTAAATGTTTGAATTGAAGTGATTAAGTAGCTTAAATAAACTTGCAAGATAATCTACTTTTATTTGATTAACATGCCAAGGGGCTACTCAACTTTTGATATAAATCATTTTTCATTGCATTCTCTTTTATTGGTAGAATGGGCTAATAGGCAGGCAATCTTTGATATCCTTACGGTGGAAAAAAAAATGCTAACGTGATTGATTTGCATACTTTATCGTGATTATCCTTAGTTTGCAACAGTACAGATCATCTTTGTAATGTTTTGTTTCCCACACATCGAGATTCTTTGGCGCGTTTGAGAATCCCTTCCATTCTTTCCCTCCATTTCGAAAAATAGTTAAAACCAATTTAGTCAGATTTTTCACAAAAATAGCAATGGCGGTTCTTGAAACTATGATTATGCTGATATATTGGAAAATGGTGTGCTTTAAATTAGCAATGTAGTTGAAAGTCCTGGTAAAGGTGGAGTCAAGAAGTCAAACAATCTTTAAAAACTCACGGGAGGATTAAGCTGGCTAAGTGGTTGTGTGTCACATCGAATGATGAGCCATGCGGCTTTGTGTTTATATGTGCGTTTGATTTGATTAACACTTGAAAACATTCCTGGCCTCTATCAATAAATACTGGGGTGGAAGTAGTTGGCATTTATAGCCTCTGATGATGAATTAATGCAACACAAGTCATCCTCTAAACACTTGATATTCCTTTCCTAAAAGGAAAATGTATTAGGGTGGGGGTTGATGGGATGGAAAATTTCTTGAAATTACATATACTGTAGTATTCGTCTTGGAAAATAAGAACCAAAGAACCAACTACCTTGTGTAGGGAGCAGCCCCAATTTATTTGGTCAGTTAAAGGCTAGGACTTGAACTGAAGTGGGTGCTTATGGCCTATATGGGCAGGGCAGTAATGTACTGCACATACTGGATACACCTCGACCAATGTGTCCACTCCATATGGGCTTACACTCCTCACTGGTAAGGGTGGACCGTTTAGGACTTCAAATTTTGAAGTGCGTGTTTATTGGTTGGGTACATGGGATTGGGAGCGACCTTTCACTTGTACATTGTGTTGTGCCATGTTTTAAAAAAATTATATGCAAGTTGCATATCTTTAAAATTTAATTTGTTACTTCATTTTCGACTCATTTATACATTTGTATAATCAAGTTTATAATGTATTAGTTATTTTTATTTGAGTGTACAATTAAAAAACCTTATAGTTTTGAACCCTCAATGTTGAGATCAATTGATGCATTGGTATTTTCTTGTTTTAATAGCATTGGGACTATCAAACTCACTTTAAAGTGTTAAGTCAAACTCCATATCAAAAAAAAAATCTTGGACTTTGTAGTGAACATTAAAAAGTAACCTATATAGTCTGCGAAATTTTGCTTCTTGTAGTGAGGGAGGGAAGACAAAAGTAGAGTACCAAGAGCACCCCTTTTAGTTATGGAAATTGATGGGAGTTAAAATCTATATTTGGATAATCTTATAATGACCAATTCTGATTAACCCCGGGTTCACCAAAAAAAAAATAGAAAAAAGAAAAAATCGCATGCAAAAAATGTAATGTGCCCTAATCCATCAAACAACTTCTTTTCAGTTGAGGCGTCGAACGAGTTCTATATTAGTGGATGATGAGCGGGTCATGAGGCGCGGGTCACTCCAATAGCAAGGCAAGAAAGTCTAAATCTTTAAGAGCATAAGGCCCAGAAAAAACCCTAAAAGTTCAGCCACAAATAAATTGAGTAGATTGGGCCATGTATCCAACCCATTAAATATGTAAAATCCCACAAACTTAGAAGTTAAAAAAAAAAAAAAATTACGTGAAAAAAAAATCTACGAAAAGGTCAACATCCGAATTCTTAACCACTTACGCTCTCTCTTTCTCTCTCCCTCCCTGTAACAGAGTCATTTTGCAGCCAACTTACCCAAAAAAAAAAAAAANCTATATGGGCAGGGCAGTAATGTACTGCACATACTGGATACACCTCGACCAATGTGTCCACTCCATATGGGCTTACACTCCTCACTGGTAAGGGTGGACCGTTTAGGACTTCAAATTTTGAAGTGCGTGTTTATTGGTTGGGTACATGGGATTGGGAGCGACCTTTCACTTGTACATTGTGTTGTGCCATGTTTTAAAAAAATTATATGCAAGTTGCATATCTTTAAAATTTAATTTGTTACTTCATTTTCGACTCATTTATACATTTGTATAATCAAGTTTATAATGTATTAGTTATTTTTATTTGAGTGTACAATTAAAAAACCTTATAGTTTTGAACCCTCAATGTTGAGATCAATTGATGCATTGGTATTTTCTTGTTTTAATAGCATTGGGACTATCAAACTCACTTTAAAGTGTTAAGTCAAACTCCATATCAAAAAAAAAATCTTGGACTTTGTAGTGAACATTAAAAAGTAACCTATATAGTCTGCGAAATTTTGCTTCTTGTAGTGAGGGAGGGAAGACAAAAGTAGAGTACCAAGAGCACCCCTTTTAGTTATGGAAATTGATGGGAGTTAAAATCTATATTTGGATAATCTTATAATGACCAATTCTGATTAACCCCGGGTTCACCAAAAAAAAAATAGAAAAAAGAAAAAATCGCATGCAAAAAATGTAATGTGCCCTAATCCATCAAACAACTTCTTTTCAGTTGAGGCGTCGAACGAGTTCTATATTAGTGGATGATGAGCGGGTCATGAGGCGCGGGTCACTCCAATAGCAAGGCAAGAAAGTCTAAATCTTTAAGAGCATAAGGCCCAGAAAAAACCCTAAAAGTTCAGCCACAAATAAATTGAGTAGATTGGGCCATGTATCCAACCCATTAAATATGTAAAATCCCACAAACTTAGAAGTTAAAAAAAAAAAAAAATTACGTGAAAAAAAAATCTACGAAAAGGTCAACATCCGAATTCTTAACCACTTACGCTCTCTCTTTCTCTCTCCCTCCCTGTAACAGAGTCATTTTGCAGCCAACTTACCCAAAAAAAAAAAAAAACAGAGTCATTGCTTTAAACACTTTTTTTTACGGATCTAACACTACCAAAAAAAATCCTCTCACTTTTTATCAGCACAAAACCACCAATTTTATGGGAGGGTGATTTTTCAATTTGTATGGTTTGGATTTGTTTTTAGTGTTGAATGTATTTTAAAAAAAGAAAAAAAAAACTCTAATTGAGATACTAAATTATATAAATTTTTTTTTTCAAATGCATTCATTATTTACCAAATATTATTGACAAAATTTAATGCCGAAGAAAATTGTTTAAATTAAAATTAATAAAATTATATTTAAGATCGAATATGTCACAAAAACAATTAAATAAATTTACGATTATATTACCAAAACCTCATGATAAAAATCTAAGTAATACTTTTACATC